TATTCTAAAAAGCTATTCTTACCCATTCCAAATTGGGAGACCATTCGATTAAATGGGATGAAGTCCAATGCTTCATCTATGTGTTCCAGGTATAGGATCCCTTTATTTTTCCAGTCCAGAAGGTTCATCATTTGGTTATTTTGCAAAATATCAGGATTATTCCAGATAGGTGTGCGTCTATGTTGGGTACTATTGGTTAACGAATAATTTGTAAGCTTTTACTTACTTTTTGGATTCTTCAATAAAATTCGTAAATATGGAAATATTTACCGATTTTATTACGTAAATAGGATATCCGGAGATAAACTCGGGGCACCACCCTTTGAATTAGAAAGGGAAATGAATCAAAAACCTCTTATCAATCTGGTCTAAACGTTCCGTGAATCTTAACGAGCTGCAGTTAAATTTCATACCACACAAGCAAACTCAATCTGAGGCAAAAATCTTAATTGGCTATACATTTATTAACTAATATCTTCACTTCAGCTCCTTCTGAAGCAGACCGCCAAACAATATTAACCAACTTATTTTATCAAACAAATAACAAGTGGTTAAACAATGAGATGATAATGTGAACAATCTGAGGTGGTGTAATCAAAATGGAGGGGTTCTGAGAGCCCAAAATGGCTGAGCCTTTGTTCTGCTGACCACAGAGATCAAACCATTTGTGTGTGTGTGTGTGTGTGTGTGTGTGTGTGTGTGTGTGTGTGTGTGTGTGTGTGTGTGTGTGTGTGTGTGTGCGTGCGTGCGTGGGTGTGTAAGCTGAGACCCTCAGTGAGGTGACTTTTTTTTCTCTCTCCCCACCACACTGCAATCAGTGTATGTGGGGCTTTCACCTTAAACTTTGCCAAACACCTTAAAATCCCAGTGAAACTTAGCCAAAAACACTTTGAATTGTTTCTCAGTTCAAGGAAAACAACAAATCAATCAAATTGAATAACTAAAAAGCCTGTCCAGCCTGGCCACAGCTGACAAACACTCCAGATATTAAACAGTTAAAACAAACGGACCTTACTTGGAGTTCCGATGGCGTTTTTGGTACGGAAGATAGAGACCGTTTTCTATTTTGAAGCAAATCGCGCGGTGTGACTGCTTATTCTGAACTATAGGAGAAATGGAAGAAGAAGTTAGATAGGGGGAAAAAAAGAAAAACTCTTCTCTGAGCGACTTCAAGGTGTCCCTTGGAGTCACGCTGAGCCAGACGATGATTTTACGCTACTCCTCCCCGGTTCGGCGTTCCCACACGTGCGAAGCTGCAGCAGCGAGCAATCTCTCTCTAACATCAGCCGAAGCTGAGAACAAAGAGGAATAGGTTTCGTTTCTGCTGGGATTTATAGATTTTGCTGTCCAGCGGGAGAACTCCGTGTGGCTCCCGCACATGCGCAGAACTTGTTTCCGGTATTTGACGCCACTTCCGGGAGCAGGGAATCCTGGGAAATGAAGTTGAAGCTGGCGCTGGAATATATTCTGCTCTTCAGAGCGCAGATGACACAGTCTTTTGGAGAAATTACTGCATAGTAATTTCCTCATGAGGGCAGACCCTCAACATTCCCCCTTTGGGTTTCGGGGATCGCGCCAGAGCTCGATCGTCGGAAGCACAGATGGGTTCGTCCCTCATGAACGTTGGTCGACTTGATCGTCGGAAGCACAGATGGGTTTGTCCCTCATGAACGTTGTTCAACTTGATCGTGGGAAGCACAGATGGGTTCTTTCCTCATGACCGTTGGTTGACTTTGGACGCCTTTGGTCTTTGTCTTTGGTCTTTGTCTTTGGTCTTTGTCTTTGATCTTTGTCTTGGATCCTGGTCAGGCACAAAAACAAAAGAGGATAGGAAACGGGATAGTCCCCACGTGCATAACGAGGAGGAGCCACCAACGCAGGTGGTACGCAATGATGTCGTCATCCTTGCAGGAGGTAGCAATGTAGAAAGAGGGAGGCCGGCGGGCGGTTGACTCCATGAGGGGACAAAAGGGGCAAGGATCAGGCAGTCCACAGTCCATGGGGACAAGGGGACAGGGATCAGGCAGTCCATGGGGACAAGGGGGACAGGGATCAAGCAGTCCACAGTCCATGGGCTTAACAGGGGCATCCGTGAGGGATAAAAGGGCATATCACCACCGGCCATACAGTTCAGTTCATGGGGCACGCGGTTATGTACGAGGTCCATAGTTAGCAAACGCTCATTGACCTATGTGGTCCCAAGATCTGCATGGTACTAGTGAAGACTCTGTCATTTTTAGATACTCCCACCATGCTGCCAGAGAGGTGCTGATACTAATACTTTTGAAGCCTTCATGTTTTCTTATGCTTGAGCTAATAAATGGTAAGTCTGAAAGCTCTGTTGTATTGCAAAGTGTCTGTTCCATATCTAACCAGGACTCATCTAGTGGGTTATCTTGCAACCATGTTGGTATATATTGCAGCCTGTTGGCTAAGAAATAATAATAAAAGTTGGGTAAATCCAGTCCTCCTCTGTCTTTGGTCTTCTGAAGCGTTTTTAAGCTAATTCGTGGAGGTTTTTCCTGCCAAAGGAATTTGGTAATTGAGGAGTCCAGAGATTTAAACCAGTCAGCTGGAGGTTTGTTTGGGATCATCGAAAATAAGTAATTTCTTCTGGGTAAGACCATCATTTTAATTGTAGCAACTCTCCCCATGAGTGATATCGGTAAGGATTTCCATCTTGCATCATCTTCCACTTTCTTTAAAAGTGGGATGTAGTTTTGTCACGTTTAGGAGCAGGAGGTTAGGACCCAAGATGCAGAACCCAGGATGACAAGAGGCAGGAGTGGATATGTAAGTAAAAATCCTTTATTTGGAGGAAGAACAAAAATAAATCCAAACGGCAGGGAGCCAAAATCCAAAAATCCAGCGAGTCAAAAAGCACAAGAGGGACGAGCAGACTGACAGAACAAATAACGCTGACAAACAACAATGGACCGAAAAGAACAATGAGACAAGGAGGGCTTATATAGACAGGGAGGAGCAATTAGGGAAACAGGAAGCAGGTGTGTGGAGTGAGGCTGGAGGGAAGGCAGGTGACAACAATTATCTGGATGGGGAAGAGAACCAGTGGAGGGCAGATAAACCTAACACTATATAAAACACAAAACTAAACCTAAAGACTAAGGGAAGAACTCACACAAACACATACACATACTGAGACACACAAACTATGAACTGGGGAACAAGAGGCTGTGGCTATAACTTAAGACACACAACAGAGATGCAGACAAAGGACACATGAGGGCGCTAAGAGAACACAAAAGGGAATCCAGAGAGGGATGGAGAAACATTAGGAGACACATGGGGAAAGACGCAGACAAAGGACACATGAGGGCGCCATGAAACACAAAAGGAGAACCTGGAGTGGGAACTGGAGGGCTGGGGAACAAAGGGACACAGAACATGACAAGTTTAGTTTGGTTAGATCTGCCAACTTGGGAGAGACATTAATTCGCAGGTATATGATATTCCCTGACTCCAATTGTGTATTAAGCAAATTGACACAAGAGAAATTAATTGGTAGAACTGTGGATTTTAACCAGTTTATAGAGTAATCTGAAACTCTTGAAAAAGAGTTTATCAGTTCTACTGAATGGGAGAGAGAGGATTGAGAATTCTGGAGAAAGAGTAAAACATCATCTGCATAAAGACTGATCTTTTCTTGTCAGAAACAAAAACACGATGAACTGACGTTTAATATTTTATTCAGTAAAAGTTTTTTTTTTTACTTTTAAATGTAAATAGATGATGATTTAGTGTCCTTAGAGTCAATCCTTTAGTTGTCCTCCAAATTTCCATCTTCTCTTCCAGTGTTATGTTCTGTGTTCCCTTGTCTTTATATGGATTTATTCCAGTAGTCAGACCATCCTTCTGGTTTTTCTTTATTGTTCCCTAGTTTATCAAGTGTTCACTTGATTTCATTATTACTCCTCCTATACTTGTTCACTTCCAGTCTTTATCATTTTCTGTTTGTCACTTTTTCTACAGAAACCAAGTTTAAAGAGAAGTACTGCCTCATAGTCATTACTGAAGTATTACTGTGGTAAAGGTAAAGTGATGCTGTAAGGTAAAGTGTGCTCTAGACGACCCTCCTCTGGGAAGAAAAGAACCAGGAGGAACTGAAGTTCTGCCCGAGCTGCAGCCTGGTGGGAAATGTGTCCAGGTGAGTTGTGCTAACCCCACTTACTTTGTGTATTGTCGGTGGAAAAGACCTAAACATGCATCCTGATAAGACACTTGTAGTTTCTTCATCACAGCCTGACTAGAGCTGCAGCACAAGTGGGCCGTATAGAAAGAAGTTCAAGAGGAAGGACAAAGGGTCACTTTAAAGTGGTCTGAGCACATGCTACAGTTACTGTACCAGAGTGTTAGCCTGCATGTACAGCTCACAGCACAGTCTCTTTACATCCTCATCATCACACACATCACTTCTTAGAATGGACCCAAATATTTGACGTTTCTCATCACATCCAGGACTTGGTTCATTAAATAAAAGATGCAAAGTTCAGCTTCTGGTCCTCGTTAGCTGCAGGGTTAAACATGAGGTCACACTGTTCACCATGGAGAAAAGACCCTGAGCAGCTGCTGCATGCCAGCACTGTAGGGACACCAGACCACTAGATCACCTGCAGACATTCAATCATTTACAAGAAGGTGGCCCACCAAGCGTCCACTCTAGCATTCATTCAGTGCATCAGACACATCATCAAGGTTCAGGAGACAGACTCCACCATGTCTGACTCCATTAGGTACAATTAAGACTTCAGAGACTTCCATTCCTCACTGAACCTGCATCAGTAGGTGAACAGAAACTTGTTTTTCTTCTAAAAACTTTTATTTTTTACTTTTGGAAAAACTGAAAAGTTCCAAAAAAGTGAAAGTTCAGATTGAAAGTTTGGAGTAAAAAAGTTTTTGTAAATAAATAAATTCTGAAGCATCAATGAATGATTTTAGTTTGTTAAACACAGAAAAACCTTCAACAGCTGCAGAGAACTGAC